GAGATAAGATCCTCCTGTTCTCGTCTGTATTCTTATTTCTATTGACACGCACAAAATATTACATTACGACTGGAGCTAAACGAAAACACGTTTTATTTAAGTTGTTTTACTTATAAACCACTGATCTTTCATAACAAACCTTAAAAAACAGCAAAGCATAAAAACAGCTATAGTAGCTAAAATAACTAGCAGATATAGGCTGAATGGAGCATAACAAGCCGAAATTAGCACAACGAAGTTAATTAGGCTTAAAGTAGCAGCAATTGCCATGAAAATTTTGAATTTGTCTGAAAACATCCAAAAGTAGCTAAAAAAAATGGCTAAAAAGGTAGCACAAGCTTAAATTAGCAGACGAAAGCAGAAAGAACACGTTTGCCCAATTTGGCTGAAAGAAGCAGAAATTAGCATAAAAAAATGGAAATTATCTGAAAAAAGCTAAAATTCGAGAAAAAAAAAGTTGAAAAGTAGCTAAAAAAAGGCAGAAAGAAGCTTAAATTACCAGAAGGAAGTGGAGTGCAAAAAATGTATAATGGCTGAAAATGCTAAAATTAGCATAAAACAGCTAAATAGTTGCTGAAATAACTAACTAGCAGAAATAGGCTGAAAGGAGCATAACTTGAAATTAGCTAAAAGAAGCCAAACTTAGCACAAAACAGTAGAAATTAACTGACAAAAAGCTGAAATTTGAAAGAACTGCTGAAAAGTAATATGAATAAATGAACTGAAAAGTAGCTAAAAAGGCAGAAATAAGCTTAAATTACCAAAAGAACGTGGAAAGAGCACAATTTTGCTGAATTTGGCTGAAAAAAGTTTGAACAAAAACTTTGGAATTAGCTGAAAAAGCTTAAATTAGCATAAAACGGCTAAATAATAGCTGAAATAACTAACTAGCAGAAATATGCTGAAAGGAGCATAAACAAGCAGAAATTAGCAAGCAAAACTTGAATGTCTGAAAACAGCTGAAATTAGCTAAAAATGTTAAAAAGCTAGCTGAAAAGGTAGAACAAGCTTCAATGTGCTGAAGAAAGCAGAAAGAACATGTTCGCCCAATTAGGCTGAAAAAAGCAGAAATGAGCACAAAAAGTGGAAATTATCTGGAAAAAGCTAAAATGTAGCTAAAAACACAGAAAGAAGCTTAAATTAACAATGAAATGGAGTAAAAGTACATTTGTGCTGAATTAGGCTGAAAATTTTGAAACAAGTGCCAAAAGGGTGGAATTAGCTGAAAAGGCTAAAATTAGAATAAAAACTGCTAAATAGTAGCTGAAATGGCGGAAAAAGCTGAAACGTGCAGAAATAAGCTGAAAGGAGAATAACGAGCTGAAATTAGCAGAATGAAGTTAGAAGAAGCACAGAAATCAGCAGAAAGAGGCTGAAAGGAGCATAAAACAGCTGAAAGCAGCTGAAAGCAGCTGAAAGCAGCCGAATGTATTGTTCCTGTCGGTGCGCAAACGGGGGGAACTGGAAATAACCGTCCGTTCAAACATGTTTGGAACGTCATAACTAGACATCCATTTTGTCGCGTGGCTACATCGAGGCGTACGAAAGCTAACGAGCAAAACTGGGCGTGTGCGTCAGAACCCAACTCGCCAGGACCCGTCCGCTCAGCGCCGCCTCGGACGCGCAAAAACTATTTTAAAGTTTCACTCTAACACGACTTCCTCTTTTTTTTTTTGACTACAAATTCAAGAGACGCGAGCCAAGCGGGTTAAAGCAACACGACGAGCTGAAGGCGACACAGTGGCGAAGTGGATTTGTCTTCCTTCAAAGAGCTGAAAGTGCAGCAGAACCAGACACGCCGGCAGCCACAGTTCAAACAGACCCCCCGGGAGCCGGTCCCCGCTCCAACACAAACACACAAAGGCCGGGGTCCAACTCCCACGCTCCACATCACCACCCGCCTGCTCGGGGCGGACTCGCCGGGAGGCAGACCTGCTTCTTTTGGGCCAAGTTCACAAGCGTGTGCTCGTGGCAGCAACAATCAGGCCCCGACACGACCCGACACTTTCAGGAGCTCCTACTCTGTGCGCCAACAATCGTGGTCTTTCTCTTAAGCATGACAAAAACTAATGGAGTAGAAAATGAATATTTGTACATACAATAGTACAACAGAGAGCACCTAAAGACTTGTGCTGGAACCAGTCCGCAAGGACGCTGGACCCGTCCCGGTTTCAACTTCCAGGTTTCGGCTGAAAGTCTAGATTGCGTTTCATGCAAACAATATTTTATAAACTTTTACAAAGTTGCTCTTTCAGATTACTTGATCTATTACAGCCAGAAATATTAGCAAGAAGTGCCGAAGCTTTATTTCCTGCTCCTTTCAGCTTTTGTTCTGGTTCGGCTTTTTCAGCGCATTAGTGTTGACGGCAGCTTCCTTCAGCTCATGTCTGCTTTAATTTTAGTTTTTCTTCCTACTTGTTTTAGCTTCTTTCTGCTTTTTATAGCTTTTAGCATCTTGCCACTTTTTGCTTATTTTAGCTTTCTCATCTACTTTTTAGCTATTCTTGAAATATCAAATTTTTTATTTGGTTACTTTTCAGCTACTATCAGCTTCTTGTGCTCTTTTTAGCTTATTTTTTCCTCATTTCAGATGGTTCTTTTTCAGACTAATTTAGCTAATTTCAGCTTTTTAAGCTTCTTTTAGCTCATCACTTTCTGCCAGTTTCAGTTTTTATTGTGGCTCAGCTTTTTTCAGCTTGGTGCTAACTTCAGCTTCTTTCTGCCGATTTAAACTTTTTCAGCTTCTTTTAGCTTGTCGCTTCTTCTGGCCAATTTCAATTTTTGCTCAGGTTAAGCTTTTTCCAGCTTGCTAGTGATAATTGTAGCTTCCTTTGGTTCATTTCAGCTAGTTTTAGTTTTTTCCCCCTGCTTCTTTCAGCTTTTTTCCGCTAATTTCAGCTTTTTAATCTATTTCTAGCGTGTCACTTCTGGCTAATTTCAGCTCTTGTTCAGGTTAAGCATTTTTCAGCTTGTTAGTACTAACTTTAGCTTCCGTTAGCTCATTGCAGCTTGTTTTAGCATTTTTTCCTGCTTCTTTCAACCTTTTTTTTTTTCTAATTTCAGCTTTTTAAGATTATTTTAGCTTCTCACTTCTTCTGGCTAATTTCAGCTTGTTAGTGGCAACTGTAGCTTCCTTTGGCTCATTTCAGCTACTTTTAGCTTTTTTTTTTTCCCCCTTGCTTCTTTCTGCTCATTTTAGCTTCTTTTAGCTTGTCACTTCTGGCTAATTTCAGCTCTTGTTCAGGTTAAGCTTTTGTCAGCTTGTTAGTACTAACTGTAGCTTCCGTTAGCTCACTGTAGCTTGTTTTAGCTTTTGTTCCTGCTTCTTTCAACATTTTTTTTTTTCCAATTTCAGCTTTTTAAGATTATTTTAGCTTCTCACTTCTTCTGGCTAATTTCAGCTTGTTAGTGGCAACTGTAGCTTCCTTTGGCTCATTTCAGCTAGATTTAGCATTTTTTCCCCCTTGCTTCTTTCTTCTCATTTAAGCTTCTTTTAGCTTGTCACTTATGGCTAATTTCAGCTT